TAAATGTTCATTTTTAAGGTCGTGGTCTAGCAAATTTATGATTATATGATAATTAGATTCATTTTTAATAAATTATCATTTCCTTGTAACATGTTCACTTTTTAGTATTAAATGTTCATTTTTTTACGTGTTCATTTTTTGTTTTTATATGTTCATTTTTTTCATGTTCATATTTTTCAACTAAATGTTCATTTTTTATTTGGGCCGCGCGTTTTGGGCTTCACTTGTTGTAGCTATCTTAGCTGCACTAGAGTGCAGCCAAGACCAATTGGAAAACAGCCAATCCAGTTTGATTGTCCATGATATGAGTCCAATAGTAGTGTAGTTGGATGGGGCTTGACAAGAGCTTTCCAACGATATATTATAAGCCCAATTATGATAAATATTGAGGAAGTTATGGCCAATTTACTAAACTGGGCCCGGTTTGAGCCTTATATACGGCCCAATGATCTAGAGGAGGGCCTAATATGATTTATCATTCCTAATGCAATTAGGAATGGTTTTAGTCTTCTAGATTCTTCTTTAAGGTTCTTTTCATTCCTAATTCAATTAGCATTGATAAATTGACTTTTGTTGACTTTTCAGAGTTTTAATTAAAATCAAAGAACATTTTTGAGGAAAAGATACAATTTTATCCTCCTGTACAGCAAAATTTATCTGATTTTAGAAAACGCGTCAAAAACAGGGTTAGCGCCTAATGCCAGGCATTGGCGCCTGGCGCCAGCTATTGGCGCCTGGCGCTAATGTTGGCGCCTGGCGCCAATTAGCCAGCGTTGGCGCCAGCTCTGTTTTCTGTGCGCCAATGCTCTGTTTTATTAATTTTATCTTTTTGGCTGATTTTCTCTATAAATAACGTATTAAAAACTCCGTTTTCATTCATCAAAAACTAGTTTTCAATTATATTCACCTACAACTAATCATTAATTCTCTCATTCTCTTCTCATTCTCCATCATCTCTCTCTCTTCTTTTTCTAAACTTGCTTTTTACATACAAAATTCCGCATTCATAAGATCTAGAAACACCTAGCCAAGTTCGAAGTTGCCTTCGCCCTAGACGTGAAAGGTTTAATTTCTGAGGGTTTGGTCCCAAATCTCTCTTTCCATTATTTAATTTAATTATTTGATTATTATTTTCCTTGAAGTTACTAACGTGTGTATTTTGTTATTAGAAAGAGGTACGAGGCATCAAAGTAAATACTTTAATTGATTTATTGATGTTATGATGTAGAAATCATGTTTATATTGTTATTATGATATTCCTAGTATCATGTCTAGGGTAATTTTAATGTTAAATATGATTATTACGATGCTTCCTATGTTCTTCCTAATATTTATGATCGTTAGTATCATGTTAGGGTTAAAGGTTTGATTTTTATTGCTTAGTGACATGCTAGGGTTTGTTATTAATCTTGTTAGTATCATGCCTAGGATCTTGCAATTATTATGCTTTAATATTAACATGAACATGATTATGATTATAATTGTTATAATTTATGATGATTATGAATATTATTATTATTATTTTGATAATGATTATTTTATTTATTATGATTATTATTATGATTATAATGACTATAATTTATGATGATTATGATTATTTTTTTTATGGTTATTTTGATGATGATTATAATTTTATGATCATGATTATTATTTATTATTATTGTGTTGCTTGATTTTTATTGTTATTGCTTGATCACATCTTTTATGCATGTTTAAAGGGAATTAGTATTTGTAATCACACTTAATAAGATAATTAATAATCTTGTTAGGGTTAATTTAGTTATGATTTCAAGTGATCGCCAATAATAGCTTTATTTGTGCATTAATATTCAACCAACATAGATAAACAGGTTTAGGGTAAACTTATTGATTGCATGTTAGTCAAAAAGCACACATGAATACGATCAGAATAAAGTAGAAACCTATTATTAGGGCACGTTCAATCTCTTTTAAGTTAGATTTGTTCCCCGAGCCCTTATTTGGTTCAAGACCTTATGGAGTTGACGATCTCTTGGATCGTTAAGGGGTGTAACCTTCACCTCGTGAACGGTTTACAAGTTCCTAAAACTTGTTGGCGACTCTTTTGCTCTATCTTCTTCCCTTTTGGACGCCACCGTACTTTAGTGTATGATCAAAGTGGGGTTCAAGCTAAGGGGGTTAATGCTTGAAATTATTCCCTACACAACCCTATAAAGATTTAAACATGATTCAACTACTCTAAATGGCACGTTTGCTAATTAATCATAAATCCCTATAATGGTAATGAATTTATATTTTTATTATTTACCATGGAATCCCATCACCAAACATGCTATAATTCCTCTCTAATGATAATAAATGGTACTCCCTCCGTCCTTAAACTAAAAGTCACTTTCTCTTTATTATGTAAGTAATAAATGCTAGAAAGAGATTTTGTATTAAGGGACGGAAGGAGTAATAAGCGCTTGTAATGAATATGGGGTAATGGAGATCAATCATATTTATATTACCATGAATAATAATGGTAAAATTTCCTTCACTACTTGAGTAACTTGAACATGCTTTCAATCAAAACTTGGATCAATAATAATTTCTTTAAGGAAAAATGGAAATAAATAATCCCACCTTTGCTTGGTCTGACAAAAACAATCCCACCTTTCATTTATTACGAGGAAAACCCACTTTGGTCAGTAATCTTCTTCTAACAGGCTTTAACTTTCTAAAACAGGTTAAATCACTTAAGATTTAAAAACTTCCAGTTTCCTCCCCTAATTAATGCTGACAGTTGAGATTTAATTCAACTGTCATTAACTCTCTCTCTCTCCCCTGCTCTCCCCTGTTCTTCCCCTTTAAATTCCAGTCAATCCCTTTTCATTTTCTCCATCAAACCTAAAAAGCTTACCCCTTTTTGCTCTAATTTTCTGATTTCTCTCTCTTCGCAATGGCAAGTCATGTTTCAATTGGCTTTGCTTTGAAATCGAAGTCTAGGGGTAGGGCAAACTCTGCTCAGTCACAGCTAGGGCTAGTGTATTGCTACCATGACGAGGTTGCTCCTCTAAGGATTGTACGCCATGATGGTCCTACGAAGGAAAAGCAGTTCTATGGGTGTTCTTATTGGCCCATAAGTTGTCTTATTTGTGAAATTAAATTTTCTAGGTTTTTTTGTGTATTGATGTTGAGAAGTTTTTGTTTTTTAATTTAATTTTGAAATGTTTGGAGTATTAATTTGCTTAATTTGTAGGAGCAGAGGACCTGTGGGTTTTTCAAGTAGCATGATGAAGTTGATGATGTACGTGTGCTGCAACAAGTTGTTGCTGACATGGGCTCTAGGATCATGGAGCTTGAAGATGAGAATATGTGTTTAAGAGAGAGGGTGAAGAAGCTGAAGTCCAAGAAGGAGGTGCTCGAGGATGAGGTTGCAGAGATGGGCATCGCAACCACTGAGACAATGTATGAGCTGAAAGAACACAACACTGATAGGAAGCTCATGCTGACATTGGTTTTCTCCTGGTGCTTTGTCACTTTGGTGCTCTTGTTTAAATAGGTGGTGATGCAGTAGGCTAGATTGGGAAGGTACTTGTTGAAGTTTTGGGGGTATAATTTCTCATTAGCAGTAGTTGTTGTTGGTGGATGTATGTTGGTGTGGGGTTTATTTATTTTATTTTTTTTTGTTGATCTGGTTGATTGATGCTAGTAGAATTGAATGTCCTAAGGGACTAGTAGTTAAGTTTAGTTTTAAGAAATGGACATAAAGTCCATGTAAGTGCAGAACTACCTAAATTTTTTGAGAATGTAAGACTTTCTTATGCAATATATATATATATGACTGTTTTAAGTAATTGTTGCTAATTTAGTTATTTTTTTAATTTACTTAAATGTAGCATCATAATTGCAATTATGTACCAAAGTCATTCCTATTTTTTATTTTTTATAAAAAAATAAATAAAATAAAATAATTGTACCAAAAACATGGACATCATAACAATACTGATACTCCTGATCTTTTGTTGTATGCAGTCACATCTTTTGCTCCTGATCCTCCAGTTACCTGTACAAACAGAGTGTTAAGTCAGTTAAAACTGAACATACTTAATCATCATCATCTATTGATACAATGGGAGAGGCTTACATTTGAGTATGTAGAGCCATCAGGTGTAACAAACACCCCAAAACCTTGTGGCACCTGAGCTCTTCCTCTACCACCCCTGCCTCCCCTGGAGCCCCTCCCAGTAGTCTAACTTCCCCTTGTGGAAGAGTCTCCCCTCCCTCTAGCACTTCCCCTACCCCTTGCAGAAGTGTTACCCCTTCCCCTAGTTTAAGTTTCTCCCCCTCCTATGCCCCTGCCCCTTATATTTCCTGTAGCTCCTCCTCTGCCCCTCACATTTGCAGTAGCTCCTCCCCTGCCCACTACTCTTCCTCCTTTACCAATTTTAGAAGGTTGGGTTGTTGCTGTTAAATGGACAGATGGGCCTGGTTGATCTTGTGGAGGTGGATCAACTTGCTTTCTAGGCCTGCCCCTTGGTCTCTTTGGAGGGGGTTCTATGCTGGTGGTGGCAGTTCCTTTGTTGGGGAAGCTTCTTTTGTTGTGTCCTTTGGTGTTGTATACACTACAAGTCATCTCCATGCCATGTTTTGTGAGCTTCCATGGGTGCTTAGGGTCTTCAAATGGGTCATTTCTCCTACTTTTCCTTGGTCTACCAAGGCCTATTTTTATGGGTGGTGGCTCTAACACCAAATCACTCCTAGGCCAATGTCTTTCACCATCCAATGGTGGAATTGAATTTGAATAGGATAATAGGTACATATACTTTTTGTAACAGTCATCCACAAAATCCTCTGCATTCTTGTGAGAGAAAAACATTGCTGCAAGTGCATGTCCTGTTTTCAAGATGAACAGTGACTGTGTCCAGTCTATGGCTCACTTGGAACAATGCTGGGCTTGAAGGAAGTACTTCACATTGAGCAGCCTCCTGTTTTTCCGAGTCCAGTTTCTTCTGAGTCCTAGGACAAATTATAGTGGTCTATTTCTCCATCTCTTGTTTTTTGGTCACTAGTCTCTTCATCAAGGAAGCTCTTATGTCCTCAAGCATGTAAAGTAAATGCTTTGTCCTAGCATTTATAATATACCCATTGAATGTCTCTTCCATGTTGCTTGTAATCACATCAGCTTTCACTTCTGTCTTCAAAAAGGCTTTATAGAAGACATTAGGGTTACATGCCTTGAAAGCTTGTGCAGCAGCTGGATTTGCCTCTGCTAATTTCTCAAGTGCTTCCTCATAATCAGCTTGACTGTATGCTTTTGCACAATTCCAAAAGAGGAGCTTATATTCATCCCCTTTGAAGGATTTATGCCAATTAGCATATATATGCCTTGCACAATGTATGTGCTCAGCATTAGGGAGTACCTCACTAACTCCTCTCAAAATTGGCTGCAAATCAAACCAGTTCAAAAAATTACAAATTAAACAACAAATACAACAAAGCAAGAAAAATAGAAAAATGTAATGCAAGCTAGAGCAGGGAGTTACCTGATGCTCATCAGACACTACCACAACTCCAGAACCATCCCCAATGCCAATGTTGTTGCTGAGATTGCTTAAGAACCATTCCCATGAGCTTTTGTTTTCCCCTTCCACCACAGCCCAAGCAATTGGGTACATTTGGCCATTCCCATCTCTCCCTACAGCTGATATTAACTGCCCTCCAAGAAAGGTTTTTAATAAACAAGGATCTACACAAATTATCTTCCTACACCCTTCCTTCCAACCTTTCTGCACACCCTCAAAGCAGACATATAACCTTTGAAAAATCAGAGGAGGTTTGTCTTTTTCCATATAAGTCACCAACTCAATCTGTGTGTTTGGAGTAGACCTTTTCAGGGCCTCCAAATACCTACCTACCTTCCCATAATGTTCCCTCATTGAACCATGTAGTTTCCTATGAGCATGCCACTTCACCTTGTATGCAAAATCAGTCTTCACAATAACCCTATAAGCTCTCCTAACAGTCTCCACAATTTCTTTAGCAGGCCAGTGAGGCCTAGCCTTGAACACATCAAGCAATTGGTCAGCAAGCCAGCTACATTTCAATTGCTTGTTTTTCTCCATGTTTCTAATACAACTGTGGTCAGGCACAACAGTTCTAACTACAAATGCACCCCTCCTAGAATCCCAGCTTCCATACAACCTAATTGGACAACCATCTCTACTCCTAACACCTATCCTTTGTTGCCTACTCTTGTTAGCCAAAACAATGTGCAAATTTCTGCCTTGGAACACTGCAAACTTAGCTACAACTTCCTTAAATTCATCCCTAGTAGTAAATCTTTGACCAACGCTCCACTAAAAAACTGTGAAATCAGTTTGCTTCCCCACTAACAGCCCTCTTCTCTCCTTTCTTTGTTGGATGGTCTCTTCCTCATCACCACTACCAGCAGGTGTGTGAATCTCATCCCCAGGAATCCTCATACTCAGACTCAGGGTCACCCTCCTCCTCTGCATGATTGTTCTGAACCACTCCTGCCCCCACTTGTTGTGCAGTAAGGCTACCCTTATCAGCTTCAGCTTATAGTTTATGAGCTAACTCTACAATACTACAGTTGTATCCCCTAACTCTATCCCTTGTTGTCTGTAATTCATCATCACTACTATCCACCCCATCTAACAACTCTGGATCTTTTAATTGCTCTATGTCATTGTTTCCAAAATTTGCCTCATAAATCTCATAATCAGCTAACCAATCCTCAACCTCAGTACTCCTTTCATTCAGTTCATCTTCTACTTGAAACAAATACTCATCATCTTCATATTCCTCCTCACTTGGTCCTAATTCATAATCAGCATCTGAACTATCCTCATCATCAGAGCGCACATCATGCAGCAACAAATCTAAAGGAACTGGACTGCTTGGTATGTTTTCCTCCCATTCATAATCTTCAGGCACTTCAGATCTAAGAAATAATGGTGAAGGATCAACTGTGTATGTAGGTTTAGTTTGGGGTTTTTGTGTTTCACTGGGGTCTTTATGTTGTTGTGGTTTGTTTGAGACTTTTTCACATGCTAAAGGGTTGGAATCAGCCATTACTTTTGCCTTTAATTTGTTTGATTTGGGAGTGGGGACCACCTCAACTGTTGTCTTCCCTCTGTCAGGAAACTCAGCATCTACAATAGATTCCTGGGTCAACCTAGGTCCCTTTTTTGGGGTCAATTTTTTAAGCCTAGTTGTTTCACTAGGGTTGTGTTTTGGGCTGCAACTGGGTTGGGTTGTGTTTTGGGCTGCAACTGGGATGGGCTGGACTGTGTTTGTTGATCCAGTTTGGGATAGATGGACTGGGTTTAACAAATCAACCTCAACACAACCATGATCAACATACAAATCCAAACATCTAGAACTAAGAAACACTTACCCCATTGTTCTGACCTCATCATCATTATAGACACTCCTTAGCCCAACCCAACATCAGATTCATGCATCAAGTAGTATATAGTGTAAACATCAACATAATTACCACATTTAGCTACCAATTCTTTTAAATAAAACCAACACAACTCATCAGCATCAATGGAAAGTGTCCTATACTGCCCTCCAACATATTTCCATGCACCATTTTTCCCCATCTTAAACTTCCCCCCATGGTACAATTTCAGACATACATTTTCCATAGTTAAGAAATCAAACCAGGATATTCGTGCAATTAAATTATTTCAAAAACCCTAATTCCTTCGATAAACACACAAATTTAACTCCAATTGGTCTAATTACATGCAATGAGCAAAATTCACAGTTAGGGTTTGTAGACACCCATTTGTGTCTCCCCAAAACCAAACCTAGTGATGAGTACCTTTCACGTCTAGGGCGAAGGCAACTTCAAATATGGCTAGGTGTTTCTAGATCTTGTGAATGCGGAATTTTGTATGAAAAGCAAAGTTTAGAGAAGAACGATGAATGAATGCTAATTAAAACTGATTGTAAATCATGAAAATTGGTGAATGATTAAGAGAGAATTAGAGAATTAATGATTGCGAATGAAAACTGATTGTAGGTGAATGTCGATTATAATTGATGATGAAAACGGAGTTTTTAATACAATATTTATAAAGAAAATAAGCCAAAAAGATAAATTAAACAAACCAGAGTCTGACGCACAGAAAACAGAGTTGGCGCCAACCCTGGCTAGCTGGTGCCAGGCACCAATGGCTAGCGCCAGGCCTGGTTCCAGGCGCCAAGGCCTAGGGTTAGGCGCCAAGCTTATTTCCAACGCGTTTTCGAAAATCAGATAAGTTTTCCGTACTGGAGGATAAAATCATATAATTTCCTTGAAAATGCTATTTGATTTTGATTAAAACTCTAAAAAGTCAACAAAAGTCAATTTATCAATGCTAATTGAATTAGGAATGAAAAGAACTTTCTAGAAGATTCTAGAAGACCAAAACCATTCCTAATTGCATTAGGAATGATAAATCATATTAGGCCCTCCCCTAGATCATTGGGCCGTATATAAAGCTCAAACCGGGCCCAGTTTAGTAAATTGGCCATAACTTCCTCAATATTCATCGGAATTGGGCTTATAATATATCGTTGAAAAGGTTTTTGCAAGCTCCATCCAACTACACTACTATTGGACCCATATCATGGACCAACCAAATTGGAGTGGCTTTTTTCTTAAAATAAGTTTTCAAAAACAGAGAGAAGAGAAAAGAAAATAAAACTTTCCGCAACACTAGACTTTCCACACTTTCGCTTCATTCGATTATGATTCGACGTGAAAGGTACTCATCACTGGGTTTGGTTTTGGGGAGACACAAATGGGTGTCTACAGAAGCCCCCACTTTGACTGAGTTTGGAGAAACGCAAGTTTTGAAAACAAAAGTCAAAGTATCGATAGGGACGGAGAATGACTCAGAACGTTCTGCGATCCTAAATCACTCTTGTAACGCCGATACCTGCAAAACTAGCATTAATTAAGCAGATAAAAGAGTTAAGAAACGCGTATCTTGCACCGTCGAGCACACGTCTCTGAAAGTACCGATTTGCTGTTTTGATGACCTCCTGCAAGCTAGAGAATGCCATCCCGCTTGAAAACTGCTACGCCCGTAACTGCTTCCAAATTAGAATATTGCTTCGCCTGAAACGATCCTCCTCTTCTTTGATAATATTCCACGCCCAAGGGAATACTATCGAAGATTATTTCTCTCAAAATTACCTTCAGTTGTTTGTGACAACTCTCCACTATCTAGGGAATGGCCACCTTGTTGTTTCGATGTTCACTCGTCTCTGAACAAAGAGCTTCTTTTTCCGCTGTGATAGTCTTCGAAAAGATCACTGCTTTTATCCTTAATGCTGCTATGCCAGTACGTCGGCGCTTTGCTGCTTGTGAACCAGTATGTCAGTGCTTTTGCTATGATGACAATTCTCTTTTCTTTGGGAATAGTTGCCAACACAACTCTTGTATGATGTATGACCATCCGATTTAGGGAAAGTTGTCAATGCTTCGTAACAATCCATCCTTGGAAATGTTGCCACGATGAAGCGACAATCTGTACTTCAGAAAATTTGCCAAAATCCAATTTTTGGGAAAAGTTGCCAATGCTTCGTAACAATCTGTCATAAGAATTTTGCTACGATCGACGATCCACATCTTGAAATATAACTCTTGAAAGCAATCCACCTTGGAAATTTGCCAACGCTTATGCGACAATCCTTTTAGGAAAATATTGCCACAATTGACAATCTGCGTCTTGGAACATTTGCAAAAAAGAGTCGATCGACAATCCACTTCGGGAAAATTTGCCACTTACTGAAATGAATGACAATCCACGTTGAGGAAATTTGCCGAAATTTATGATGAATAGAGACCTACAACAATCCTTTGGGAAATTTTGCCATAGGGAACTGGGTGTATGACAATCCAATCTCGGAAAACTTGCCAGCAATGACAATCCGCACTTGGAAAAAATTGCCAAATAGAGAAGGAGCACGAAAATCCACGCTTGGAAACTTTGCCAGAGATGACAATCCAATCTTTGGAAAAATTGTCGTTGAAGAAGATGCACGACAATCCATTTTTGGAAATATTGTCAGTTAGGGATGACAATCCAATTTTTGGAAAACTTTGTCGTTTAATAAGAATGTGCGACAATCCATATTTGGAAATATTGTCGTTTAAGTGCTTGCTTTTGAACCGATTGTAATGAGCCAGTGTTTTAGGCGCTTAAGCTGAGTGAGACAATTTTTTGTCAGGTCAATCACTTACTACGATTGTAATCGAGCCGACTACTAATAATGTCAAACTGCTTATAGGGGCTAACTGGCGTACCAAGGAACCCGAAATTGTTGTATGAAGTCGAGATCACCTTTCTGAGAGGCTTTAAGCTCTGTCGTTACTGAAATATCTCTGGCGCCAAGAATTGGAGTAGGGTCCTCCCTATTCAGTTGCACCTGTATTTATTTTTTACTATAGAACTTTTCCAATCTCCTTAGCCATCTTAAGGTTTACCTAAGGCTTAAAAAATATCTTAGGGTTGACCTAAGGTTTAATGTTTCTTGACTCATCGACTTGACACGTCTCAAGGTATAAACTTGACTCGCTGATTGACTGACTCGAGGTTGACTCGACTCAAAGTGAAAAGACACGTATGACTCATGACCCGTGTGTGCATTGTAATGTGACCGTGCGACTCGAAAATGCAAAAAAGCAAAAATTTTCCGTCATTATTGTGGAGGGTACCAACTTTCTCCCGAAAAAGAAAGACGCGAAAAAGAATCGAAGTCTTGAAGGTGCATGTTGAATGAGCTTAGTCAAATGTCATTTGATACTGTCTCTCAAGGTGCAAGGATTAATTCATCCTAGGCTATCTCAATTATTGACTCAATGATGAAAGCATTTGGGTAACTTAGGCACGGAGGCTAAGAACTTCATACTTCGATGCAATGATGATTATGCTTGATGAGTGATGTTGATATGACAAGACATACTTCAACGGTGTGTTAAGATTCCATGACAAAGGGTTCCTAAGGGAAGTATATTTGGTCATGTATCTGTGATGTGTGTGAAAGTGACACAAAAGTTAGACCACAAGGGCTAAGTGTGTGGAAAGATATTATTTCAAGAAGAGTCAAATGGCGGTGACTCTTAGGCTAGGTAAGCTAATGATGTAAGGATCAAGCCCCCAAGTCTAGCTCTAAATGAATAGGGATGAGCATAGGGGATACCTTGATATGATCATGGTGTGAGTGTGTGAATGTGAATATGAATGCATGTTTATTACGGCCGCACCTCGATGTGAGGTTGCCTACGTATCCGTTAGGAATCAGGCCGAACGTAGCTCTAGCCGAACCTCGCACAAGTGTGTATACCTCAAAAAGGTCTTTTTAAGGGTTGTAACGTGGTTAGGCTAAAGGTTGAAGAAGAAGGGGATAAAGGCTCAAGACCCTAGATAAGCCCCCAAGGTGTGCAACCTTGCTTTTGAATCTTTATATTTTTATGCTTGAGTTTCTACTC